GAGGCCCATTTCTCGTGCCAACGTACAAATTAGGAGGCAAATCTTGCGTGTGACGAGTGGGCGATTTGAAAAAGGGAGTTTTGGTGTGTGGAAATACGGAGTGACGGTTAAGTCCGTCAGTACACACGTGCTCTCTGCCTTTGTTCTCCATCATTTTACTCTTATCATGCCTTTGCTGGCTACTTAGGCAGAAATACTGTCTAAAGAAAGTGCTTTTTGTTTTTTTACTAACAAAATTATGTAGGTTTGATCAGGAAATGTTTTTATTTCTGTGAGGGAAGGAATGAAAACACCAGATTTTTAATGGTGGTTTATCTTCACAAATTTCAGTGTTTGGTTTACAGGTCTTATTTATTTTTTCTTTCACAAGAACGCTAGAAATACAGCTGAAAGTTGTCAAATGTGGATACAAGTCCCCTTTTGACTTAAAGAGTTTAGAAATACAAGACAACTTCAGCTGAAAGTAGAGTCTCGGAGCACTATTCCTTATGCGTGCTTGTGTTTAGAAACCAGCAAACCCAGGAAGGTAAGTTGGGGAAGCTCAAGCAGAGACTCACGGCTTTAGCCCGGTTGAGAGAACTGGGACATTTTGGTCTCCAAGGTCTTTGCTGTGGACAAATGATGGGTTCTCAGCACTTGTGCAGCGATCAGCCCAACCAAAACACTACAGGATTACACACGGTGTCGTCACAGGGGTTAGTAAAGGCAGCAAGCTCTACACAGTACTCCGCGCTCTGTACCAGTGACTCAGTTTTTTGAATTCTTGTCGTTATATGGGAAGTGCTTAAGGGTGTGACCGTGCTCTTCAGATTTCTTTTCACTGGGCCCATCGTACCAGGTTTTTTTGCACCTCGGTGTACTCCTTTACAACAGCGTGCCATGCTAAGGAAGCGTGGGAACTGGCTCCCTGCAAATCCCTCTTTCTGCCCTTGACTTTATGCTTTAGGGGCTGCCGTTTCCCAAATATTTTTTAATCTATTGCCATGCTCCAATGATGAATCTAGAAGCTCCCTTGAAATGTGTGCTCTGGCTGAGCACGCTTCTCTCGAGCACTGAGAAAAACAGAAGCAGTAGTCATAAACTTTTTTTCTGTTGATGCTTACCCAGCTTTCTATTACTGGACCAGCTGTTTGTGCAATTAACGGTATTTTTTTTAATAGAAGGAAAGCCCACATGATTCTCCACATGCTACTTGTGTTTTGCTTGGTCCTGAGATACTCTTTTAGTACTCATTGACTAAGTAGCGTGCATTAAAACAAATTTATGCCTGCTTTAGATTCCTCTCTTCCCGTTCCAAATGGGCTGATGTTACCTGCTGACTGATTGCGCTAACATTTAATCAGCTAATCATTAGGATTTAATTTGTGGAAATAGAAACGACTGCGTTGTTGCCGTGATGTATCTGAGAATAATTGGCTGAGAGCACGCGAGTTAAAGCAGCAGAAAGCCGATTCTGATGGTGTTCCAGATGTTTCCTACCGAGGTGCCCGGTGGAAGGGACACGAGCAGGACGTACAAGGGTCCTGCTCTGCTCTCAATCATCCCTAACGTGTTCTTGCCCGTGCCTTTATCTCTGTCGCTTTCTTCACTCTCGACTCCCTGTCAAAAGCAAATACATAAATTCTCTCAGTATTAAACTCTCATCTTTCAGATAACTGTGCCCTTCCCTGGGTGCTGAGGGAGAGGAACTTCAAAAATCCTCGTTGCGTGCAGGAGCGCACCTGAATATCCCACCACATATCCCACTAGAATCCATGAAAGAGTTCTTTTAACTCTGCTGGGAAATCTACCGTCGATAACTTTTATACAAAGTCTCCCACTCTTTCTTTGAAAGCTGGTGATTTGGCTAACAAAGCGGATGAGCTAATAGCGCTTGGCATTTCTGCGCTACTTTCAGTCTGCAAGTCAGGCTTCGGTCATCCTGATGGGGCTGGAGGGAGGGAGGTGCTGATGAACAATACCATTCCAAATCGTTGGGTTTACGTGAAATTGGAGCAGGGGAATTACAGACGCGTTTTGGATGGACGGAGCCGAGGCACGCAGGAACCGTTATGTCGATGTGAAGCGCCGACCTATTCCAATGTGATTTAAATCAGTCATGAAAAAGTTTAAATTAGGGTAATCCGGTTTTACGCATAATTTGACCCCTGCACAGACAGTTACGCTGTATGGATTCAACTAAAGCGGTGCGAATGCCTAAGAGATGGCGAGTGTAAATCATACATTCAAAGCCTTAAAACACAGCAGCACCAGGAAAAAATCTCTTCTCTCCTCCATCTCATGCTTTAGCGTGCTTCTCTACACAGCTTTATTTATGCTTTTTTTTTTTAAACTGTGTATCTGTATACTTGAACATATGTACTTTATCTCATGTGTGCATCTTTATCTGCATCTGTATACCTGTCTGTGTATTTGGACCTCAGCTGCTATCCAAAGAAGCCCAGAAAATGAGCTGAAGGAAATATCTTTCTAGCTTTCCACACCGATCTCGTGCTGTGAAGCATGCCCCAGATATCGGAGCCCAAATGAAGCCTTGAGGGACCGTGGGTTATCACGCAGATACTAACCGCCTGGAATTCCAGGCGCTGATGCTGAGCCCCGTGTTAACCGTTCACGCTCTTATTTTACTTGTCTCTCCTGCTTTCTATTTAGGATGAAGTTATGGTTGTGTCTCCTGGAAAATGCTGCCCAGAATGTGTTCCAAAGCCCTGCTCGATGTCAGGAAGAGTCTACCAGGTAGCCTTTGATGAGCCACACCAAGAGGCAGTGGTTCACAAGTTCTGGCACATCTCTCTAAAAAAAAACTGACTTTCTGCCAGCACTGATAGCTTAGCACAACCGTTGCTTTTTTTTTTTTTTTCTTCCTGGAAAGCCAAAAACGTTGAAAGAAATTAGGACTAGATAAGAATTTGCTGGCAAGCAGAAGGGAAGTTTGCAGGGTGAAGCAGATTAGGCACTTTCTTTTCACGCTTTTTTGAAGGAGGAAAGCAGAAAGCACCGGTGAAGGTCAAAGTATTAACATCTTTCATTATATCATCTGGAATTGATTTAATGCATTATGTCATCAGCGTAAGGATGTGGGATTTTCTGTTAATTATTATGGTTTGCTAATAATAGTAGTTAACCAATGTCACTGGCTTGCAGTTAATGAGAAATACACACCACGGTGCCATCTAGACCCTCGTACCTCTTCTTCCTGCTTGCTGATAGCGTAGAGATAAGCATTTTTTAAGAAGAGCTTATTATTGGATACAGACATGCAGAAGGAGCCGTCATATTCCACAAGCAGCACAGATTTCTGGAAAGAATTTGGTTATTTATGAAGAACGTTTAACAATTGCATACATGTTCTTTTTGAACAGCATGGCGAACGGTGGAAAAAAAATCCCTGCACTGCATGTGCGTGTCACAGAGGAGAAGTCAGATGTCTGAGAGAGACCTGTGACGGTATTACCTGCGAGAAGGTAGTTAAAAATCTTCCACCAGTGTCGCTGTGCCCATGCCGGTGGGTTCCAGCAGTCCTGCTCAATGCTCGCTGATGTTTTGTAGGGGGAGAACAAAGTGCAGCGTCCTGGGAAGTGCTGCGAGGAGTGCGTGTCTTCCGAGGGAAACTGCCTGTACGGTGGCACGATCAGGTACCACGGTGAGATGTGGAACAGTACTCGCTGTGACTTCTGCCTTTGTGATGAAGGGAAGGTCACTTGCCAGGAAGCCGAGTGTGCCAGAGTGGAGTGTGCCAAGGTAAGGCAGGTTGTCTTCTTTCGAGATGTATCTGTCAAGTCTTGTGATTCCCCTCCCCTCCTTTTTTTTTCTTTTTTTTTTTTTGATTGACATCTTGAGACACTCAAAGAACCTGCCCTTCTCTCGGGGCTTGTTTTGTGCAACTTCCTTGAAAACACTTCAGAGGAAAGGAGAGTAAATTTTGGGTTTTCCACGCGAGGTTGACTGCTCGGTGGGCTTGCACCGTGGAGCAAGCCAGTGTGAATCGGTGACCAGTTTCCCTTGGCTTCCCTCCCACGCTCTTGTCTGCCTGCTACGGTGGAGGGTCAGGCACCCAGAGGTTTCGGTGACCACCTGCTTTACCGGGAGCTGAACGTGGGGAGAGATGTACAGGTCAGAGGCAGTTAAAAGTTTAAGAAACGTTCCTTTTATCTTCATTCTGTGTGCTACGGGGGGCTTCAGTAAGGTAGTTGGATTTGGAAGTCGGCGTTCCGCTTTTCTCCATTTTTCCATGCCATTCTTGGCAAGGGAGTGAAGCTGGTAAGGTATTGTATTCCCAGTGCTGATTACTCCAAAACTAAATCCTCCCCCCACAGGGTTTGTTGTATTTGCTCCGTAGTGGATGTGCGGAATGCATTAGGTAGGGTTGAATGCTTCACACACAGAGACACGCATACCAATAGGTTTCGAATTGCCTTTTTGCGGTGGGATCAGACTTCTGCGTTATTTGTCACTGCGTCTGTTTTAATTGGCGAGCTAATATCTGCTTTATACCTACTGCTCCGCAGTGTCAGTGAGGAGAAGGGAAGGGAATTGTAGCCTTCTGAGTTTTCTTTCTCGGTGGCAATGCTTTTCTGGTGACTGCCTGCGTGCTACACCTTGAGTAGCAGCACCCTTGTGTTGTGTCTGAAGTCCAGCCAAAATCTGAACGTAATGGATTCACTGGATTAGGTGGTTTGACTGAGTGTTCAAACAAGTGAGAATCCACACGCAGGGTCCCAAACGATGATTGCGCAGAGAGGATGCGTCTAGGAATGAAGGCGTGTGCTCGTTCATCTGAGATTGTGCCTTTTAAACAGCAAAAATGCGTTGGCTGTGGGACCCAAACTCTTGTCGCTGGTGCAGTACTGCTGACGATCATCTGACCCTAAACTGCACGGAGAGATTTTGCTGGGTGGAAAGTCACGGTTGTCATAAAATCTCGCGCATTCGCATCTGTTTCAGTCAGCTTCCTGCATGCTTACGGCTGTAAATTGGATCATTTACACTAATGATGATGGCGTGCTGTCATGGCTCGGTAGGGAGAATTATTTAATATTCATGCTTTTATCTTGGGTACTGACAAAGAATCCATTATTCAGAAAAGCCAGGCATATTTTACAGAACACTAGCTGAAGATGTAGGGTTCAAAACTGGGCGGTTCAAAAGTCTGCAGTACGATCATTCCCGCAGCGATTTTTCAAACTTGGGCTCTCACAGGTAACATCTAAAAGCCCGAGCATCTAAAAAAGGGGTATTATTTGTCAGAGTATGAACCGCTGCAATTTTGAATTGAATGAGACGTGATTGCTGGGAGGACAGGAGGAGGAAGGCAGTGTCCTTTGTTGTAGACAAGAGCGATGGTCCCACTCGATAAAAGATATTTGCCCAAGGATTTATTATTCTGCATGGCTTCCCTTAAGATAAACTAGCTTCCTCAAGTCATGTTCAGGCACAGCTTACCTCAATAGTACAAGGTGCGTGTATGTTAATTACAATAAAATATTTACCCAAAAAGCAGATAAAATATTTCCTTTTTCCTTTGCTTTTTCCTCTTTGAGTTGCGGGTCTGTTTTTTTAGGCACCTGCATCAATAAATCAGAGCTGATGTGAAGCTAGGAGCATTTGGATTCATCTCTTCGTTAAGGCGCTGTTAATTTTCTGGTCACATCGTCCTATTTAAAGTTAATGAGGCCACAGACATGAACTACGAATCCTAGACAGCTCGACATAATCTAGCAGCATTTACGTGAGGGTAGGGTAGAGGTTTAGCTTATAAACCCTTTCAAACCAACCTGTCCAGCAGGTGCCAAATGGAAGTGTCTGCGGTGATTCCGACCCAATCTTCAAAAAGCCATTTTCAGCAGGTTACTGATGAGCTAGGAATACAAGGTACGGGGCAGGCTGGGATACCTACGGATGTGGATGCGCTCAACCAAAACCACTCAAACATTCAGAGCATCAAATAATCCTGCCGGCGCGCTTGCCAGCAGCCCTGCTAAGTACGCACCCTCGTGACGACGCTCGGAGGAGGATGGCTCACGGGTGCTAGCAGGGGATGCTGCAGCTGACCTGGGTAGGTTGGCGATGGAGTATTTCTGCTCGCAGCCCTGCCAGCCCTAGGAACCGCAGGGTCGGTAAGATGGAGTTCGCAGGGTGCTGCGTGACTACCGTACGGCCAGCCAGCAGCAGAAGTCTTTCTGATAGTTAGAAGAAACGGAGCTAGGGGGTCGAGAGTTACGGATGGTGCCCGTGGATGTAGGTGTGTACGTGTTCGAGAGATTGCATAAACCGTTTTTTCTTCTCTTTTCTGCCTCCCAGCCCCTCACTGCCTTTTAATGTTCTCAACCTGGAATATGACGACTCTCTCTTCAGCAAAGCCGCAAGTTGTCTCACGTAGCCTCTCCCTTTTCTGAGTCTTGGCAGAGCAGCGCAGTTGCATTTGTTTTTTGGCCAGGCGAGCCATGTTCCACGGCTAGTTGTCCTCAGCTTTCCCGTAGCCTGCGTTTACGGGTGCGGGCGGGCGTGTGGGGCAGGGACGGGGATGGGAGACTTTACAGTCCGTAGTAGCGACCTGAGAGCCAACCGCTGCCAGCGGCATTTTGATGTAATGATTTAAGAGCAGAAACGGATGGAACCAGCAGCGAGAGATTTAGGCAGTGTGTGGTCCTCGATGACTAAGAACCGCACGGTTTCTCCTCTCTTACCCGTTCTCGGACATGCCTGAGTGTTGCCAGAGCGTGGCCTGGCTTAGTTGTTCTACCTTGGGGAATCCAGCAGAGACCGGTGCTGTTATTGCCACGTCTAAAGTCATTTGCATACACAAATTGGTGAGCGTGCCAGTGTGGCACAGGGAAAAATATCCTGGGATGACTGCTGGAAGAGATGCTCGCTCGGGGTAAATTAGCAAAGCTGTTGGGTAAACTTGGCGCTCGCCTGAATTTTGCGAGCCGTCGGCAGAAAGCAGCAACGTGCTGACACGGAGATGGGTGTGAGCAGGTTGATTTCCTTGGGTGGGCGAGCCCCTTGCAAACATTTAACCAACGGTCCCGATTTCTCCGTCGCAGGTAAGTAATCAGCCTGGTTGCGAGCAGGCGCTCGGTGCAGATCGGCACCAAAGCTGATTTTTAATCGTAGTGGTTTTGTGTACATCCCTCTGGTTTCTGACTAGTATGTATGACCTTGCCTGTGTGTACAGTGCGGAGAATCTGGTCCAGCAAAGCTACCCAGCTCAGGAAATCAAAGCTCTTTCTTTTGAGCTGTGTCCTGGTTCCCTAGGACAGAGTCTCTCTCTCTTTTCTAAATATTCCGCTTGGACGCAAAAAATTTGTGACGAATTAGGGCGCTTTATTCCCTTCTCCTGCTGCTAAATTCTTACCTTCAAACTGAAGTTATTTAAGTGGCTTCGGTGGAGTTGTACAGTTGTAACAAAGAACAGGCTTTTTCCATCTGGGATAAGTAGAGCATGTGCTTTGAAATTCTCTTGGGGGGGAAAAAGTAGAACATTCAAAATGAAGGTGGGCTTCTATGCATTGAAATCTTGACAGGGGTCCGGTAAAGTCCTAGCGATCCACAGTAAAAACAAGGCATTCCCGTTCTCCGTCCTTGCAGTGGATTATACTGGGGGGGCAGGTCTTTCTCTGCGGGATTTAGGGATGACATAATGGCCTTATCGCTGAATTCCCTGGCCTTCTCTGAGGTTTGTTCTGCAATTGCAGTATTCACTGAGCGCGTTTTTCAACCAGAACCTACAGCGATGAAGTAGGATAGAGAGAAGATAAGGTGAAATTAGATAGTGAAGATTGCATTCCAGGGCAAGGGCTGTTCTGCCTCTGCATTCCACAGTGATTGCGGTGATGTCGATTCCGTTTGTGTTGCTGCAACCTTTCTCTTCACAGGGTGAAGAATTAATTCACTTAGATGGGAAGTGCTGTCCTGAATGTATTGCAAGTAATAGTTCCTGTGTTTACAAAGAACATACCAAAGCTGTGAGTATCCTGGTACTTCGGAGCACGTAATAGTGAGTTCTGCTCGTAGAGGTTTGGAGGAATAGGCTCTCCCTCTCGGGTTCTGAGAAGGATACTATCTGCAAGTGTAGCAGAAAAATAATCCATTAATATTGTCTGCAGATTGCTTGTTCAGTTTACAGAACACGCTGTACAACGCGTGCATCTGCTGCAGAGTTTAAGTTTGCCTTGCTCTCCTTTGTGCGGTATAATCAATCATTTCCCTTTAATATTTAATATACGTACTCCTAGGTTTCCTGTGCCTCTCATGGAGTTTAAGATGCCTGACTTTAATCCTACAGAGGCGACAGAGCTGGCGCAACGTATAGCTTTCTGCCTACGTAGCCCACCGATTATAATTTTTAGTTTGATGGCCTTCTGAGCAGACCTGGGGACGCAGATGGCGGGAGGGGAACAGCACGTGCAAGGTCCCTTCCCTCCGTCGACTTGTAAAAGCCGGCAAATGTCAGGGGCGATGGGTAGTTTGGAAGAGAGTCGGCGATACCTCCTCTTCTCCGTGGCGTTTCGGCCAGTCCTCGGTGGTGGAAAGCAAGGCAGGAGAGGAGGAGGGGAAATAAAATGCTGTGAAGGTCGGAAAGAGATTTAAAGCGTGACAAAAAGGTCGTGATGCAAAGACAGAGCTTCAGACAGGACAGGTTGCGGGTACCAAGCTCCATAGATACACAGCAGATTCAAGCACTTCTTACCGGGCTGTGAAAAAAGAGGTGGACGAGCAAAATTTGGAGACAGGAGAAAATCCTTTGAGTCAGAGAAAACCAAGGGAGATGAAGGGGTCGAAAGGACTTAGCGCCAACTGGAAAACCACCCCGCTTTGGAGGAGCGCTGGGAGGGAACGCGTTGGGGTGTTCACGGGCCCAGGACTGATCTCGGCCGGCGCTTTGCAGGCTGCCTTGTTCTGGAAGGGCAAAGAGAGCAAGAGGGTCAACGGTAGAGAGGCACGCGGTCCCACGGCGGCAGGTCGCGGTGCCGAAACGTTCCCGGAAACGTTTAATTTACTCCTCGCAGTTGTAAATTGCCTTGCAATTTACCCAGAGATTCCCGTGCGTGGCAAAGCCTTGGTGCAAAGGCTCTCCCTCGCTGCTGATGCTGCCCGTTGGGTGTTTCTCGTGCAGAACGGCGAGAAATGGGAAGAAGGACCGTGCGGAGAATGCGAATGCCGGGACGCGGAGGTGACCTGCTTCCTGCGTTCCTGCCCGCCCTGCCCGCCGGGCAGCCTGGCCGTTGAGGCGAAGGGTGACTGCTGCCCACGCTGCGAGCCAGGTACAGACCCAGGGGCCGTCGTCTCCTACCGTCGCTCCTGACGGGTGCCAGCGCGGGCGTCACGTACACCTCCGGCACAGGGGGTTGCTCTGGCGTCCCTGCCGCCCTCGCTTCCCCGGTACCGCTCTGATACCCGCCTGGAATTTTAACTTGTCTTGGGTTTTCTGTTACTAATTAACTGGTTTCCATATAATTTAATTAGGGTCCTTAGAGAGCTTTAGGGCTCCATCCGCTGACTTCCCCTGGTTTATAAGATAGCTTTCTTTCAGCAAAAAAGTTTCTCCTTGGGGTTGGTGTTCTGGAAACATTTTGTCCTTTTCTTCCCCCCCCCCAAGGCAGAGGACTGCTCCTTCCTGAATCCCAGCATGGGTTTTGGAGTTTATGGGCTCCTGATTATTGCTTGGGAGTGGAAAGGAGAAAGAACCTGCTTACGCTATTATGCCACAAGCTCACCTGGGGCTGAATGGCTGCCAGTTAATAATTGTTTGGAAAGATTAGGGTAGCCTTAGCTTATATGTTAATTTTGCATATAAATTCATTTTTCTCCAGGATATTGTCATTCCCTGTGATTTACAATCCATAGTTGGTAGGCTTTAGCTGTGGTTTGCTAATTTTTCATGTTGGTAGCTCTTCTTGCTGCATTCATATAACTTTGGTTTTATCAGAGTGCTCCAGTTAATGTTTTATCTCAGTAAAAAGAAAATAGCTTCACAGTTTAATTATGCTGTCATTTGCAGGAGTGCCTTGGCACATTCGCCATATTAATGTTTTAAAGCTTGTTATTTACTGCATGCTAATAAAAATGCAAAGCACGACAAATTGAAAAGTGAGGAAAATGGGTTTTGGACAGTTTGGATAAAATTGTCCTGGATTTCTGAAAGGGAACAGCATCTGCAGAGGCTCCTAAGGAGGGGCCAGATTATAAACTGCTCTCAGCACCCATCTGTTCTCCTCCTTAGCAAGAAGTGCCACTGGGTACGGGTTACCCTTGGAAATCTGGCCTCTTCGTTTAGCTTCTGTAATGGTAGCGGTTTGGAAAATACAGGCTCTGAAGTCATGGCATTGGACATACAGAGCCAAACTTGCTTTTTTATGCCCTGAAAGATAAATGGAAATTTCCTTTCCCAAAGCTTGCTATTTTCCCTCTTTTTCTGTTTTGCATAGAAGGGGATGAGAAACAAATGCAAAATCCCGCTTGCGGCAGTTCGGTCTGTGCGCCCAGAGCATCAGTCCCTAACGCGTCTGCTTCATTAAAGCCAGTAAAAATTTATTGCTGCTTCTCACAGATGTGCTGGGGGAAACAGGCCGAGAGAAGCCGTTCATTCTCAGCCAGCATAAAGCATATAGCCCTAAGCAAAGCTGTATTTATGTTAAAACCCTCTCACTGAGAACATTTGGGTTGGAGCAGAGGGAATTTTTTTGCACCTCGAGAAAAAATTGTCCACTCTGTACATCTCCAAGTAGCCAGTTCATTGTCAGACTGGAAGGATGGGGCCGCATATTCCTTTGGAAAGTTACTGGAAAGAAGTGGATGGAGCCAGAGCATCCTCTTCACTCCTCCTGTTGATCACTGTGGATTCAGTGTTATCTTCAACTGTGTCTATCTTGATTCCGCATTCTTTCCTTAGGTACATCTCCCTGGAAACTTGCAGGTTATTTCGTGGAAGCGAAGGAGAGTTTTCAGCATTGGGATCCTTTTTGCTGACTTGTCAGGAAGGAACAGACAGCTTTTCTTCCAGCTAGCAAAAGTAGCTCAGTAGTAAAGCGAAAGTAGTCCTTCTCCTGGCCTCTGCAGAGAGGGCAGCCAAGCTGTTTGAGAAGATACCCGGGTCGGGATATGCTTGCTGCGGTGCTGTGCCATAAAGCTTTTGACTGGAGGGGAAGTGGTCTGGCACCTGTACTCCGACCTGGCACGGACACCAGTCTTGACTTACCGCAGGGTTTGACTACAGGAAACTCAGATTCAGGTTGTTTCGGACCATTAATTCCTGATGACTTAGGATTTTTACTGTCGAGAAACCACGTGCACAATGACTATCCTTTTTATCAATAGTCTAGAAAAATCTGAGTCTGTGTAATAACTTCTGCCATACTACAAGACAGCAATATAATATTTGACCCCTTTCGTGCAATCTTGGGGAAAAAAACCCCACTCCAAAACTAACACACCTTGAACCACCGCCAGAAACGAGGAACGAATTTCACTTTGATTTCGGAGCGCGCGTTCTTTTGTGCCTTCCTGATGGAAAACACTGCCGATGGTTTTTTACCTTCGTGTCTTGTCTCTGTGCCAGTTGAGTGCCACCCAGACTGTCTGACCTGCTCGCGGTCCTTTGATCACTGTAACGCCTGCCGAGACGCGAGGAGGCACCTGCAGAACGGGCGCTGCGTGGAGACGTGTGAATCGGGCTTCTACCAGGATGGGGGGACCTGCTTAGGTAATTGCTGCAAGGGCTCGTACCTTCTCGGATGATCCTCTTCTCTGGGGCTTGCTGTGCTTTTGTTTGTAGGATCCCGCGGGCTTGTTGTAAAGAGATCGCCGGGCTTTGTTTGGAAAAGCGTTCAGGCACGTACTGAGTAGTAACCGCGGGCTTAAGGCTTCAGGATGCTTCGGGTGGAAGCCCCTGAAAAAATACAAATTCTCAAACCCTTTTGCCAAAATGAGGCAAAATTGTCTCCTTTTATCAGAGCAGGGGAGTCTTGCTGCATCAAGACATTTGGGATTAATACATCTTTGTTCTCTGTTCTTTCTCTTGGAAGCCTGCAATGAAACCTGCTCAACCTGTACCAACGGATTTGAGTGCTCCTCGTGCCAGACATCCCTGCTAATGAAGAACGGGCAGTGCGTGACTTTGTGTGGGAAGGGATACTTTCAGGATCGGCTCCTCTGTACAGGTAACTCGAAGCAAAAAGAGACTGCGCTACTTTGTGATAGCAAAACAGCAGACAAAAGCTGTACCTGAGCTGCTAGGCGTACTCTCTGTTGAGGGATCTGCTGTTGACATAGGTGTTAATGTTCACCCTAGAGTAAAGGAAGGAGTGAACAGAGGAACTAAGTCGGACAGCGTAAAGTCAGTTACTGGTTGGGGAAATACTCATTCAAATTCCTCAGCGCTCTCTGTCTAAAACTCTCTGCTTTTCAACACGGCGGTTTTTCACCACCGTCCCCTTTCAATTCGGAATTCTCTTTCGGAAACGTGACCGTGGTTTTTGCGGCGTTAAGGGTACAGAGCAGGATGTACGCGCTAATTTTACTAAGGATGTAACACCCTGAGCCGTGCCCGGCAATCTGATCCGGAGGGTTTTTCTTTGAGTTTTGCTTTGTTTTGCCATTCATTTGTTTCATATGGTGCTCTCTTCCTGAAAGTTGATTGGACTAACTGTTCTCAGGAAGCGTATTTACAAAGGAAATTAGTAATTCCGTAAAGCACTGAGATGTGTCTAAATCCTCTATCTTAGCAATTGCAAAGACTGAGAATGAGATTGGGAGGTTAGAGTTTTCTCTTTGGTGGAACTATGATAGCGCTTTTATGAGCATCCCCTGCTCCTTTGAAATACTGGTACTTTTCCCAAACTGTAAGGCAGCCGCTTTCTCACCGTGACAGTTTAACTGTTTTCTCTAAAGTTAACGCTTTTCTCCTCCTGATGTTGGCCTCTCTGGAAGGCTTCTAATTATTTCTGCAGCTCTGACTCAGCACAGGGGTGGAGCGCACGCTTAACTTGAGCCATCGCTTTGATTTCTTTGGAACTAGCCCTCCTGCTTAAAATTAAATACAGGCTTAGGGCTTTTTGGCAGATTTCAGGGGAAAGCACTTCAGATTGTAAGCCCGGCTTCCTCTTCTGAAGTGATTTTCCTTGAAGAGCTGACCGTTTGTTTCACGTTTTGAAAGTCTGAAAAACCTCGGTCCTCCAGCAGTGACTGCAGACGAGGGCCCCGTCGTGCACGTTAGAACGGCAAAGAGAGACCCAGTCCAAAAGAATTTATAGACTTAAATAGCGAATAATCTTCTACTTCATTTGGTTTTATTTTACCATTTCCTTTCCACCTGTTCCTAGCGTTTGAATTGGCAGTGCTCGGGTACTGCCGAAGCGGTGGGGAAAAGCTGATGTTTCATTTCATTCCTGGTTTGTAGATTACTGGTTGTACATTCCATCCAAATTTGCAGTCACGCATGCTTGTAGCTGAAAGTTGCTGGGAAAATGTGTTCCTGTTTCCTCAAGGGAATTAAACCAATTTGCTTTAGTTCTGCCTGGCTGCATTTTCTGTGTAAAGTCAAACCAGCGGAGAAAGTCTTAAATTTCAGATACGGTCCGTAATTCATTTCTTTGTATCCTCTTTATTTTTACAAATCTCTAATCTGATTGTCCAGATGAGCCTTAGACTGTTCAGAAATATTTTTTCTCATAATGGCTTTACCATCTACAATAAGCATGTTCCTAAATCACAGAAAGGATGAACTAGACTGTGTTAATTGCTACGGTTCCAGTAAAATCCCTCTGGAGGAATTCGTTCTGGAGATGAAAAAGACCTGTAAGACCAGGTTTCTCACTCCATCCTGTTGTCGAAACACTGTTGTCTGTGTTGTAACAAAACACAACGAATTAGTCTTTCCTTTTATTCGCATTTTATAATAGCCGGCCTAATTGAATCTGTTTTGAATTTCGGAATACAGTTGTTTGATCTCTGCCCTGTTTTAATCTCACACCAGGGTTGTTCCCTCCACCTGCTGCTGTAAAGTATTCATACCGTTAGGAGAAGGTGAAGCGGACAATAGAAGGTCATAGGTTTGGTTATGTAGCAGTGCATTTAAAGATCACGGATCAGTTTGTACCAGGCTTAGAGCAGAGTGGCACATGAAGTCTTCCTTGTCAGAAAAAGGCTGCGGAAACAGTTAAGAACCTACCCCCACCCCCACCCCCAGCAAAGGCTGAGCAAAGGGAAGCAAAAATAAAAGATTTCTTCCTGGTAGAACAGAAGGGCTCGAAAGACTTGCAGTGTTCAGTGCTCTCACTGCATTTTACTAGCTTAATTATTTATGTTTGCAAGATTATTCAGAAGCCTTGGCAGAACTCAAGTGTTCCAGCTTTGATCTCCCCAAAATGCGAACGTTGAACCGTGTAACTTGACGCTAACAGACCCAGCTTGCTGTAGCAAAACGCTTGGATTTTTATTCAAGGCCTGTTGTTTTTCTCTGCCCTGCCTGGCTGCGGAGGCATCGCCTGGAGGCTAAACGGCTGACCGTGACCAGGCCGAGCTCACGGGGAGGAGGGCAGGTCAGAGGTGGTTAACGGTACCGAGCGGCACCGCGCGCTTGGATCCATCTGTGCTTTCCCAAAGCCAAGCGGTGATTTCTTACCGTGTTCTTGCTGGGATGCCGTTTGCGTTAGCACCAAACCCGGGGATGTTATACCTGCGCTGAGGCAGGTAAGAGCCAGTTTGGTGAGCGGATCTGTGATTGATTCGCTGACTTATGGTCAATCGTGGAAGAACAGAAACGTCGCTTTGCAGGACCTCTCGCCTTCTAAAAGCCTGGGCTTGCGTCGCTTCTGTGTGACTCCTACGTAACAGAGCAGAGTAAGCCGCCCGTTGGCTCAGGAGCCGCTGGAATGCTCTTGCTTTAAAACAAGAATCGAGAGCCTGGAAGTTTTGCCTGTTTAACGTTGATTTTCTGGACAGACATCTTACTGCAGCTTAATGAATCCCATCGTTAATGGGACTCAATGCCCCCCCCGCTGGGGCAGAGTCGTTGCACACCCTATTGCAACTGGAAGGTCGACTGTAATATTTTGAACACCTTTTCCTGCAGCAGCGGCGTCTGGTGAAGCTGCAGGGTCTTGCCTGGAAGTCCGGTATCCACACTGAAGGGAGGAGGCAATGCAAAACGGCCCCTACAGATCTGAACTGAAAACAGCCAGGAAGGGCGAAACCAGTTTCTCTTGATTTATGTTCCACACAGCCCCTTAGTTGCTGTAGGCAAAGATGTTGTAGCTGATAGCAGCTCCTTGAATGCTTCCATTTTTCCCTCTGTTTTTTTTTTTTTTGTTTGTTTGTTTTTTTTCCAGTGGAGTTGGTGGCTGGCTCTTTGGGCGAGGAGCAGCTGTTGAGTCTGGCAGCCATCCGGCGCCGAAAGAGCCAACGCGTCTGCGGGCAGGGTGTGCGCGAGTGTGTAAAAACGCAGGGCGGGAATGGGTTGGGGCTGCTGTTCCAGCTGCACGAACCCGGTTCCTACGGGTTGGGGGGGTCCCATGGCTTGCAACTC